AACAGGAAGTATGATCGCATCAATGTTACTAAACTTCACTCTGGCCACTGTGAGAAAGAATAGATTTAAAAGCACAAGAATGGGGGAGCCCTGGGTGGCTCAGCGGTTTAGCACCTGCCTTTGGCCCAGGGCCTGATCCTGGAGACCCGGGATCAAGTCCCACGTCAGGCTCCCTGCATGGAGCCTGCTTCTCCCTCTGCCTGTGTCTCTGCCTCTCTCTCTCTGTATGTGTGTCTCTCATGAATGAATAAATAAAATCTTTTTAAAAAATTAAAAATAAATAGATAGATAGATAGATAGATAGATAGATAGATAGATAGATAGATAGATGAAAGCACAAGAATGGAGGCAGGGAAACCAGTCACTGGGGCAGCTGCAATCATCCACACCAGGCTTAAGAGTGGCTTGGACCAGGATAGCAGATGGCAATGGAGAGAAATGAACACAATTAGAATTTATTCTGGAGTTAGTACCAACAGTATTTGCTAATGGATGGATGACTCTGAAGACTTCATCTTCATTCTTCTGGTTCCCCTCAGATGCCTCCAGCTCCATTTCCAGTCCTTTCCTGCCAAGGTTCATCTGTACCTCCTGCCTCTGGGTTCTGTGGGATGACTGGCACTGTAAACTAAATCTCCCTTTCCTCAAACTACCTCGGCTAGTTTTCATTCCTTGCTACCTCAACTGAGGCCATCAAGCACCTGCTGTGTTACAATCCTCCCACAGCCCTTCAGGATGGCACAGCAGTTGAAACAAGCAAAGCTCAGAGGGATGAGGTAGCCTGCCCAGTTCAGAGTGGCAGAGACTCAAGCCCAGGTCTTCGGGGTCCAGAGTCAGTATGCCCTCCTCTCTGCCATGCTGGATTACCAACATATACCCAAATGCTAGTTGAGTGACAAATATGGCTAGGTAAGCCCCGAAATTTCAGCTCCTTTGTAACACAGAAGGAGCACAATGGCTGCCTAACTGCACTAATTTCCCAGCTTCCCTTGCAGCTAGGTGTGGACATACAACTTTCTCCAGTGGAACATTAGAAGAAATGATGATGCAAGCAGAACCCGTGGCTCCTCTGCACTCTTTCCCCTTCCTACAGGCTGCAAGCCAGGCTTGGCAGTAAGCCAGCTTCAATTATGCCAATCACAATAAGGCTTTGGAGAGATTGTGGAACAATGACTCAGAAGGAACCTGAATCCCTGAATGACCACATGGTGCTAAGTCTGCCATCAGTCTGGAAAGCTCACCTGGCCTGGGTATGTGAGAGAGAAAAAATATCAACTTTAATCTTCAAGTCATACTATTGTCAGGTCCCTTCGTACAGCAGTCCAGCCTTGCCTTAACTAATACATCACCTCAACATGATTCATATATTTTAAATACCAGTGGCTTCTTTTGTTAAATAATAATTAAGCCCCTCAAACAGTACCTCCAAACAATACATAGATGCTTGAGTTTCCCCATTCTGGCCCATGGTCGAATTTGTCTAGTCTGTGGACTAGAGTCAATACCTTCAAAACCCAGTTTAGGGGCGCCTGGGTAGCTCAGTCGATTGGGCATCTGATTCTTAACTTTGGCTCAGATCATGATCTCAGGGTCATGAGATCAAGCCCCATGTTGTGCTCCAGGCTCATCAGGGAGTCTGCTTGAGATTCTCTCGGTCCGTCTGCCCCTCATCCCCATTTGCACACACACACTCTCTCTCTCTCTAAAATAAATCTTTAAAAAAATTCAAAATTAAGGGAGTATCCGGGTAGCTCAATGATTGAGCATCTGCCTTTGGCTCAGATTGTGACCCTACAGTCCTGGGATCAAGTCCCACATTGGGCTCCCCACAGGGAGCCTGCTTCTCCCTCTGCCTATGTCTCTACCTCTCTGCCTCTCTCTCTCTCTCATGAATAAATAAAATCTTTTTTAAAAAATTAAAATTAAAATTAAAAATTAGGGATGCCTGGGTGTCTCGGTGGTTGGGCATCTGCCTTCAGCTCAGGGCGTAATCCCACGGTCCCAGGATCGAGTCCCGCATCGGGTTCCTGTGTGGAGCCTGCTTCTCCCTCTGCACATGTCTCTGCCTGCCTCTCTCTCTGTGTGTCTCTCATGAATAAATAAATAAAATCTTTAAAAAAAATTAAAACTGAGTTTAAGTTGAAAACCAAAATCAACAAGACTGTAACCATGCGTGAAAGATTTTGTTTTACATGCCATTATTTATAAAAATATTTTAAGTTTTATATTCTTTCTTAATAAATGCTTAACAATTGATAGAGCAAAATTTTAAAACCATGCAATCTAATATTAAATCTGCTGGGAAAATATTTTTTTTGGGGGGGAGGAGGGTTAATTATTGAATTGAGTTTGTTCCAGAGAGGCTAGTCTGTGGGATCTGGCTCTCATATGTTAATGAATCAATTACTTTTTAAATGTGGTGGGTTAGTCAGGGAGCAAGCCAAAAACCCTAGTTGATTACTATGAGAATTTGTTTATATCAGCCTGTGAGCTTACTTCCCAAAAGGTCCAAATTTAGAGACCAATTTTAAGATACCCAGAAATATGTGTGACTCAGTTACTTCATAGTAAGTTCCACTGAATACTGAAATAAGCCCGGATCTCCCTACACTTCTCCGTGGTTCGCAAAACTGACAAAGCTCTCCAAGTCCACTAGGAAAACAATCTGTGGACACTGGGTGCATTTGGCTGAAGGTGACCATACATTCATACTCCACCAGCTTTGACAGCGCTATAGATAGTGGAGCACAAGCTTGTTCCCCAGAGTGGCAAGTGTAGGCATTTCTGGCATAAGCCCATCAGGAAAGGTAGGGAAAGGACAGTAAGTAAAAGGGGGCCACATGTTTAGTGGGAAATGCACTGGTTTAGGATTCAGATGGATGTGGATTCCAATCCTGACTCTACTATACACTCATCAACTCGCTTAACTTTTTTGAACCTCAGTTCCCTATAAAATATGGATACTTATACCCACCCCATAGAGTGTTATGAGGACTGAGGAAGCACCTAAAACACATAGAGAATGTTCTGGCAGGCTTGGCACTCAGTCAATGACTGCAAAACAAAACCCAGGCCAGGCCGATCCTGCCTCGAGATAAAGAAGTCAGCAAGCCTGCCCTCTTCACCAAGTCACCATGAAGGAACACAGCATGCCAGCTGGCCTCAAGGTTTCTAAATTGTCAAGGACAGGCTTCTGTGGGTGCTGTTGTGGGGCGGGTAGATATGCTCGCTGACCACATTCCAGCTGTTCTCCTGCAACTGTGGCTGTCTAAACCTTCCAACTATTCTCATGGCTAAAGCAGCCAGCAAAGCACAGTCAAGGCCTCATGGAAAAGTCTGCTTTCCAGTCACCTTCTTCTGTTGTCCAAATTCATAAATGACTGTGAAGGACTGCCTTATTTGCTTTTTATTCCTGAGGCTAATAATTAATTTCTTTAACAAAAATTTAAAAATTAAACCAAAAATAAGCGAAAAACGAAACAAAACAAAAAAATCCTTCATTTGTGTTGATTATGACCATTACCATTAGACAGCAAATGACTGGCCTAGAGGAAAGAAGGCCCGTGAATCAATTAGGACTTCTTTTTATGATGGGCACAGGCACTGTGTTTTTAGCTTCAACACATAGACATAATATCAAACGGAAAATCAAGTAATGTTTTCATTTTTGAGGCTCCCTCCCATGCTGAGACTATGATGTTTGGTCCAATGTTCATCCACCCCTACTCCTTCCAAGCTTCTCCTCATGACTTCCTGGTCTCTGTAATGAGCACTTACTCCCTCTGACACTTTGATACCCCCCTATTTCCCAATGAAGCATCTGGGTCTTCCATCAGTCCCTACTTTCCCATATCCCCTTAGCACCTTAAGTTACACTCTCGATAACATTGTGCCAAGATTATTAGGGTCTTCTGCTGGCCTCACACCTCCTATTTTTCCAAACCATCTTCTATTGACCTACCAAAAGTGCAGCTTTAGCTGAATCATTCTGCATCTGCTCAATAACCCTCGATGGCTCCCTATTGCTCATTCTGCAACCAAAGTCCTCCACAGTATGGCCCTAAACTCCCTTCTCTATCATGTCTCTTCTCCAGTATTCACATTCCAACTAGATTTAATCACTCCTTATTGAACTTACCCACCTTTTGCCATCTCAATGCCTTTTTCATGTGATTCCTCTGCCTGGAATACTCACCTTCTTTCCCATTCACCCACACATGGAACTCAGATCCATCTATCAGAGACCATCTCAAGGGATACCTCTTCCACAAGGTATTCCTTCCAACTAGCAATCAACCTAACTCCTAAATCTCATGACCTTGTATTTGCACTTACTTTCTTTCTGTTTCTTGTTCCCTTCCACCTTGCAGTGTCGACTCCTACATGTCCATGCTCAGGCATACACAACAACCCCCCTCGCCCACACCACGCAGCCCTCCCACTGGACTGCAAATGCCTGAAGGGTGGAGGCTATGTTCCTTAAGTAAATGCCTGCTACAGGGTCCAGCACAACACCGGCTGTGGAGGAGCTTCTTGACACCAAGCGCGCCGGATTTGTAAGAGTAGACAATGCCTCTGGGAGCCTTCCAGCCTGAGCAGCTTCTTTCTGTCTGTGCAAAACAAGCAAGTCTCCAGCACCCATTCCCTTGTGGCGTCTCACTGAGGCCAAGTGTGGGACATAAGACAGCCCCTCCATCTTTAACAGGCTACTCTGAGACCTTCTGACCTGCTTCTCCTCTAAGCTGTCTTTTACTTTTGAACCTGCACTTACCCAGGAAAACATAATGGGGTGACCCCCCCCCAATCCAAAGGGACAGCCCTACTGCCAGCCCTAAGTGAAGAGTTCTGCCAATTGGCTTCGCATTGTGCCATCTGCTGGGAGAATTCCTCAAACAGTTCCACCAGGAATCCACCTTCTGAGGGTGCATGCTTGGCCAGCAGGCGCCACCCCTCATCTGAAGCAGCCAGAGACAGCAAACTGCCCCATACCCTGGTAGTACCTGCTCCCTCTGCGCTGGGTATGATGCCTCCTCCTACAGCTCGAGCCCGGCAGTCCCACTGACCCTGCGCCCTTCTCTCCAGGCGAAAGCTCGCCCCATAATGTGAGGACTTCCAGAAGGGGCGTGGAGAGGGATCCAGCCACCACATATTCCTGACAAAAAAACAGAAACAGAGAGAGAGAGAAAAGGAAAGAGTGACCAAGACAGGGTGGAAGCCCCAGCTCTCTCATTTTCTTTTTTTTTAAATTTATTTTCATTTTTATTTTTATGTATTTATTTTTTTTAATTTATGATAGGCACACAGTGAGAGAGAGAGAGGCAGAGACACAGGCAGAGGGAGAAGCAGGCTCCATGCACCGGGAGCCCGACGTGGGATTCGATCCCGGGTCTCCAGGATTGCGCCCTGGGCCAAAGGCAGGCGCTAAACCACTGCACCACCCAGGGATCCCCCCATTTTCCTATACAAATGTGAGGCCAGGGATCCTGGTGGCGCAGCGGTTGGCGCCTGCCTTGGCCCAGGGCGCAATCCTGGAGACCCGGATCGAATCCACATCGGGCTCCCGGTGCATGGAGCCTGCTTCTCCCTCTGCCTGTGTCTCTGCCTCTCTCTCTCTCTCTCTCTCTCTCTCTGTGACTATCATAAATAAATTAATTAATTAAAACAAAAACAAATGTGAGGCCAGATTGTAACCTTTCCCTTGGCAAGTCTGTGCGCAGGACAATAGAGAAACTAATAGGAACATGGCTCTTGCACTGCGTTAGGCATTCGTTCCCCCATCCCTTTTTTCTCAATGGCCTTACTTTTTTTCTTAACACTTGAACCCAGGTTAGTCTATTTCCTATTCCTATTTCTAAAGAATTCAGGCCCTTTGCAGTAAAGAAAGACAAGCATTCCCCAGAGCTTTATATTAGGAATGCTGCTAGATTGTTGGTTGAAAGCATGTACATTTGTTAATTTGCACCCTAAACACACCCCACGGTCTCATTTACCTCTGAGCACTCGTGTGTATTGCAACTACCTATGCACAGTTCCAACTTAATCAAATACTTAATGAGCAGCTTTAATATTTGTTGTCTTCTCCATAGGAGCCCATGCTCATCGAGGTAAATATTGGCTGCCTCTACTGCCTGTGGTTAAGAATTGTCTGTCCTCATCGAGTCAGTGAACTGCTGGTCCCCCAACGTGGGAAAACCCTGCTGGGTGCTCTCCAAAGGCTTCATTTTAAAACGAGATGTTTCCACTTAACAGATCTTTTGCCAACACCAAGCAATTTGGAAGAGCAGTATGAAATCCACCATCTGGGTGATAATCAGAGATTCTTGTAGATGCTATTACATGCCAGACGCTGGGGATGCAATGAGGACCTGCCCTCACAGTGCTTATGGTCTGGGGGGAGAGGCCTACACTTATGGAAAGGTCAGCCTAAGGAATACATTACTGAGAAGTGAGATCAGTATTTGGCAGGAAAAGCATGGGGTGCTGGGAGAGCCATTCCCTAAAGAAGAGATATTGGAGTTGGGCTGAAATATGAATGTGGGGAGAGATTATTCACCCATTTTTAGGTCTGGAGCCCCCCCATACACACACATACACACACACACACATACACACTTAGTACAACTCCATTTATTCCTGAAGAACCTAAGGCCCAGCAGAGCTCCATGTCTTGCCCAAGGTCAGGGCTAATTATAGAAACCGGCCATCCCAATATCTAATCCCTTCCTGCTAAATCACATGGATTTTATTTACATCCCCACCATAGATTATTTCAATACATCTGGCCAATAAAACGCAGAATATTCCGTTAAAAGCACATCCTTCTAGACCACAAGCATAAATAACGATTGTGTTTTAATGTGGGTGATACCTCTTCATTTTGCAAATCCAAGTTCTCATCATATCAAAATCCAAGACAGTTTGTTTTCAGTAAGAACGGGAAGGTCATAACCCTGTCTAAAACGCACTGGCAAATCTCTCTAACCGTGCAATGCTAATTTGGGCGTGAGCTGTGTGTTTGGGCTGACTTCACGCCCCAGCTGGGGTTTCAGATTTGCACATGGCGATTGGGTGGCTTTTTACTGTTGCCCTGCGAGGGAGGATCTTTCCCTGGATGCCCGAAGCCTCTGGGGATTTACCGCTGTCCTCGCTGATGTGTGTGCCTGCGCTGCGCCGTGAAACATTCTTCCGAAAAGCCTTGAAAAGCCCGTGAGAATCCACTTGCAGTCTGTGCGCTTGCACGTAAAAGCAAGGACTCGCAAGAACCGCAGAGGATCACAGTCTGACCTCTGGGGAGGGGATGTGATGCGGTCTTCTTACTCTACACACGCCTGGGTTGTGTAGAATCGTACACAAGAACGTACTGGTGTATGACACACTCAATACACATACACACTTAATGCATATATATGTGTGTGTATTACTTCCAGGAAAAATCATAAACAAAACTAACATCTCAACAGAACAAAGGTGCTTCTCCGCGGAGAGCAGAAGCGTTTCTTCTGGATGGGACTGTCCATTCCAGAAAGCTCAGAGCAACTCCAGATTGACCAGCCCAGGACTGAAGGTGGAAAACGTGCCCTCCGCAGCATCCCAGCGGGGAATTTGGAAAGTTGGAGGCGCCCCGAGGGTCGCCGCGCTCGCGGTCCGCGCCCGCCTTGCCGGTGCATCTGGGCAGGTCTCGACTTTGCCGCGCGTGAACCGCCGCCCAACCCGAGCGGGTGCGGGAGGCGCGGCCGCGGCGGGGCGGGGCGGGGCCCTGAGAGCGCGGCCCCCACCCCACCCCACCCCACCCCACCCCCGCCCCCGCCCGCGTCCCCTCCCCCCAGCCCCGCCCGCGCTCGCCCCCCGCCCGCGCCCGGGGCGCCCGGCCCGCCCCCTCCCCTCGCGCGCAAACGAACCTCGCGACGCGCTCGGCGGCGGGCGGGGGCCGGGCGGGGGCCGGGCGAGGGAGGGGGCTGGCCCGAGCTGCCCGGCTCCGCAGTTGTCTCCCGAGCGCGGGCTGTGCCGCCCGAGCCTCTGGGCTGCGGAAGCGCGGGCCGTTGGCTCCCGGGCCGGCTCCTCCAGGCGCTCGCAGGCATGCAGCCCGGGAGCAGGCGGCGCGCCCCGGGCCGCTGCTGAGCCGGCCGGGGCGGCGGGGAGCAGCGCCGGCCCAGCCCCTCCCACCTTGCCCCGGGGCCCACGAGCGGCGCCCCCGCACCCCCTCTCCGCGCGCAGCCCCGCCAGCGCCACCCCCCGCGGGCCGCAGGGGCCCATGCAGCCGCCAAGGTAAGCGCGGGCCGGGAGCTGGGCGGACCCGGCTCCGACGTCCCCGAGGCGCCCCGGCACGCGCGGGGGCCACGGCGGTGCGGAGCCTCCAGCCCCCTCCCGTCTTGCTCGCGTCTTGCCCAGATTCGGAGCTTTGCCGCGCCTCGATCGCTCTAGCTCTTGGCAGCAGTAAAGTTTTTGTGGTTTAGTATTTGCTCTTTTTCCCGCAGATGCTCTCCGCGGGCCGCCGGCAGCGCGGCTTGTCTCGGGCTGTGTGCGGGCCGGGAGCTCCGTCCTGCCGCGCGCCACCTCCTCTCCGCCGCGGGACGGAGCGGGCGGAGGGCCGACCCGCCGTGCACCCCCATTGGCCCGGCTGCCCGGGTCCCCTCCTCCTGCTCCCGCCCGGCTGCCTGCCCCAGCAGCACGGTCGCGAGACGAGCGCCTGCTCGCGGGGGCTTGGGCGCTGCTTGGTCTGGACTCGGGTCCGAGCGGTCCCTGGAACCGGGCGCACCGGAGCGCGGGAGGGTCCGGGACTTGGGTCTGCGCTCGGGGGTCGGAGTCCCGAGGGGCCCCGGCGCTCCTGAGTGGACGGGTGTGGCGGGCGGGGCACGGACACGGTTCCACGCCCGGCCCGCGCCGTGGCTCCGCCAGGGAACCAGCTGAAGCCGGGGTACAGGTGCATTTAGGGGGCGGGCCGACGGGAGGGCAGGGACGCTAGGTCGCAATTCTTGGTTGCATCCCGTTAATGAAATTGCATTGGATTTGCTCGGAGGCACAATCCGTTCCCCCAGGTTGAGATTTTTAATAGGAGCCTGCGAGTTGCTATTATGTGGTGTGGTTTCGGAAGGCGTCGAATTGTGTTTATTTAATGAATCGGGTGCCTCGCGGACGGAGCCGGGGGAATCGCGCCATCTAGCGGGGATGGCGAGCCGCGCGTCCCTTTAAGGCAACGAAGTTGTGTGTCCGTCCTCAAAGTGAGGAGACTCCAGCCCCAGGTAGAGAGGCGGGATGCGCGCCTCCTGGGAAGAGTCGTCCTGAGGGTCTCCATAGTCTGGTTGAGCGGGAGCGGCCCGACACCCCCAGCTCAGCGCGCCAAGCTCAAGGGACAGCACTTCAGGTTGTACTGCGGGGTAGGAGATCCATCACCTTCTCCATCTGGTTTAGGGGCCACTAGCAAAAACATAAAATGTTACCTGCCAGCTAAGTGGATCCCCGTCCGACCATCTATTGTAGAAACAAAACAAAACAAAAAAAAAACCAAAAACGATGCATGGACCTCTTTCTCTTCTCCAGTGCATCACAGAGGGGTGATTTTTCAGGCAGATCTTGAGCCATGACCCCTAGGAAAGAGATCTGTGGTGAAGGGCAGCTGAAGGACGAGTTGGGAAAGGACCTCCTGCCAGTCTGTGCAGGGACAGGATAGTACACCAAAATGAAAAATTTTAGACACATATAAAGGGTCTCCTGATGTTCCACTGCCATAGCAGGTGCCAGGCAAGCCCCCTCTATGAGGGCTAGGGGTCCCCAGTAAAAGATGAGGGGGGATGACTTTGCTGGGTGACAAGCAGAGCGGACAAAGGCTCTGGGTGGGGCACCCACCCATCCAGGCGGACTCCACAGTCTCCGTGGCTGGTTTTTGCTGCCACCTTCCAGGCAGGATGATATTAGCAATGAGGGGATTCTCCCAGTACTAAGGGATACGCTGGTTCCTTGGAGAGCAGCATGGTGGTTCCCTTGTGTTGAAGACCATTGCCCCCTTGCAGTCCTCTTTGCTGTGGTGGTGGTGGCGGTGGTGGTGGTGGTGGTGGTGGTGGTGGTGGTGGTGAGGGAGGTCCCAGATTCCTTTTAACAATAGCCTCACGCCTACCGTTTCCCTCCCAGGTGATAGACAGCTCCTGGGTATCTGTGGAT